AGGGCCTGTATGGGATGCCAGTGTTTCAGGTGGTGGCCTTACCCACTACGCCACAGCGCTGGCCCCTGCTGCAAACATCTTAAACCCTAGGCTAAACGCCCACCATGAACCTTATGAAGTACCCTCCTCTTAAAACTCGACAATAAAAAGACAAACAATCCAATGTAAAATAGGCAGAAGATGTGAATATCTCCAAAGAAAATATGTAAATGACCAAAAACTATGCAAAAAGCTGCTCCGCATCGTTAGTCACCAGGGAAATGCAAATCAAAGCTGCAGCAAAATACTGCTTCACGCACACGCGTGTGGCCAAAGTGAAACAAGTGTGGACCGGGACCCTCCTGCGTATGTGGCAGGTGGGGATGTAGTGCAGTGCGGCTGGGAAAACAGGGTGGCAGCTCCTCGAAATGTTAAACCCAGCAGTGCTGTTCCTGGGTGTACACCCCAGAGAATGCACACACCTCCACACACCGAAAACAAGGGTACATCGGTGCCCTTGGACTAACCTAAGTATCCATCACCTGGGGAATGGAAAAGTAACATGTGCTAGATTCGTAGCGTGGAAAATCACCCAGCCATCCAAGGAGTGACGCACCGCTGCGTGCTGCAACATCGGGGAACGGGGAGAGCACTGTGCTAGGAAGAAGCCAGTCACGACAGCTCACACGCTGTGTATTTCCATTCGTGCAGCACATCCAGAACGGGCTGTCTGCATCGGGAGAAAGTAGGTTAGTAACCAGCGAGGGCTGGCAGAGGCGGGCGCAGGAGCAGGGGAAGCCTGCTGACGGGTCAGGGTTTCCGCCGCGTGTGGAAGCGTTCTAGAAGGAGATTGGGGTGGTGCTTGCCAGTATCCGGGCTGTCCGAACATCACGGCACTGCACGGCTTCAGCGCCTGACCTTCATGGCGTGCGAAATCTAGTCCAATAAAGCTGTCAAAAACAAACCACAGACTCTGCATTCTAAGACGCGCTCTGGCTGCCCACTGGGAATACACGTTCCACAGAAAACATTTTTTCAGGAAGACCCAGCTCTATTAGGTCAAAGTTAAAGGAATCGGTCCCCCCCCCCCCCCCCCGCCATTCTGGCATTGCTGCATACAGGAGCCGTAATGGTTGCCTGGAGCGCCAGCAGCGAGCCTGGGGGTTTTGAGTGAAGATTTCAGGATGGGCGGCCACCAGGGGTAGGGATGCAGCCTCCTGCCAGGTGTGTCGCTGTGCGTGACTGCAGCCATTCATATCCGGGAGCCACCAGGGAGCTTGTTATTAGCTGGGGGCACGGAGGCCACAGCCCAGGCCCCGACCCTGCGTGTGAGCTCAGTCTATGAGCTCAGGGATCCTTACACCATCAAAGGTCAAAGAGGAAGAAATCACCCCGGCCAGGGCAGATGGCGAGGGGAAGAACCAGGCTTCCCGCATGTGGCTGCTCTCTGTCCGCCAGGATCTCCCATCATTTTCTGTCCATCAGCTCTGAAGCCAGCCTGGATTCTTGCAAACCTATGCTGGGCTCAGCTGTCCACGCCAGTGAGACAGAGGCGGAACTGAGCCCGCCACACGGGGGAGCGATTGGTGATGTAGAACATCACTGACCGGTAAGTCCCGGTTCCAGCCCTGGCCCCATCCCACCACATCTGCGGAGCCTCTGACACTCTGTCTCCTTCCTGCTGCCATTGCGCTGTGAGTCTAGGAAGCTGCCCCTGAACTTGGCATTAAATGATCACGCTGCACTCATTCCTGCTCCTCCTCCCCATCTCTGCTCCACGCTACAGCCAGAGGCAACTTCTTTTTTTCTCTAAGATTTGTTTGAAAGGCAGAGCAACAGGGTGGGGGGGAGGGGAGGGGAGAGGGAGAGGGAGGGGAGGGGAAGGGGAGAGGGAAGAGGGAGGGGAGGGGAAGGGGAGAGGGAAGAGGGAGGGGGAGGGGGAGGGGGAGGGGAAGGGGAGAGGGAAGAGGGAAGAAGGGGATCTTCCATGGTTTACTCTCCAAATAGCTGCACTGGCCAGGGAACTCCATCCCAGTCTCCCATATGGGTGGCAGAGACCCAAGGACTTGGGCCATCGTTGGCTGCTTTCCCAGGCACATTATCAAGGAGCTGACTTGGAAATGGAGCATCCAGGACTCGAACGGGTGATCCCATATGGGATGCTGGAATTGCACAGCTTGACCCGCTGTGCCACAATCCTGACCCTAGAGGTAACTTCCAAAATGGTATTTCCAGAGTGGGCATTTGTCCTCGCTGTTGGGATGCCCTTGGGCCCCATCAGAGTGCCGGGCTTGAGTGCCCGGCTCCATTCCAGACTCCAGCTTCCTGCTACTGCAGACCTCGGAGGTGGTGGTGACGGCTCAAGAGACTGGGTTCCTGCCACTCATGTGGGAGACTTTTTTTTTAATTTGACAGGTAGAGTCAGAGAGAGAGAGAGAGAGAGAAAGAGAAAGGTCTTCCTTCTGTTGGTTCACCCCCCCAAATGGCTGCCATAGCCAGCACTGCGCCAATCCGAAGCCAGGAGCCAGGTGCTTCTCCTGGTCTCCCATGCGGGTGCAGGGCCCAAGCACTTGGGCCATCCTCCACTGCCCTCCCGGGCCACAGCAGAGAGCTTGCCTGGAAGAAGAGCAACCGGGACTAGAACCCAGTGCCCATATTGGGTGCCGGCGCTGCAGGCGGAGGATTAACCTAGTGAGCCACAGCGCTGTGGGAGACTTGGGATGAATTTCTGGCTTCCTGCTTTGGCCCTGGCCTGGAGTTCCCGCAGCCTGTTTGGGGAGTGGACTTGCAGGTGAGAGCTCTCTCTGATTTTTAAGGGGTATGACTTTTTATAAAACAGATTTGTTTATTTGAAGGGCAGAGTTGCAGAGACACTTGTAAGATAGAGATCGAGAGAGATCTTCCATCTGCTGGTTCATTCCCCAAATGGCCACGACCACTGGGGCTGGGCCAGGCCATAGCCAGGAGCCTAGAACACCGCCCGCGTCTCCCAGCACGTGGGCCACCTTCCAGTGCCTTCCCAGGGGCATTAGCAGGCTGCTGGGTCAGAAGCCGAGCCCGGGACCTGAAGTGGTGCTTGAAGGCGGGATCTCCGCACCACAGGCGGTGGCTTAACCTGTTGTGCCACGACGCTGGACCCGAGTAAATAATTTCTGAGCTAAATAACATATCAGCTCATGACATCTTCTTACGTAAAACCCTCCAGCTGTTTTCTGTGGCTGAGAAGAAACCCACCGTCCTTAGCCCGGCCTGTGAGACCTCAGAGGATTGGCCCCCGCCTGCTACCACTCCGGCCTCTCCCTTCCTCACCTACCCAGCTGCCGTTCGTTTTCTAGAACCCACAGATTATTCCTGTCCCTGGGCCTTCTGCTTGGGTCCCTCAGCCACCAGCTCCCATAAAGCCAAGCCTCATTCTTATGGTCTGCACTGCCACCTATCACAGGTGTGCCCAGGTAGAGGTGTGGCTAGGTACGTGTGCTCTTGCTTGCTGTCCGACCGCCCTGCTGGAAACTGCTAGAAACCACAGCCCCAGGCAGGAAGCCGATGAGCACGCTCAGCCGGGACAGACACTCGCGGGGCGGAGGCAGTACCTGGCACAATTCCCAGCATGCCCCTGTCTCACTTGCCCCTTGACCTTGGCTGTCAGCGAATGAGGCTCACTTGGCATGATTTAGGGAGAAGAGGTGGTTTGGGGCTGCTCTCCCAGTTCTGTGGGAAGAGGATGGGAGAGAGACGGCAAGATGTGCCGAGAAAGGAGACGGTGGGCCTCTGGGCAGGATGAGGCCTGGCAGGCTGTGAGAGTGCGGGCTGGGGCCTGTGGCAGGCGGGCGGCTCCCACTGCCAGCATTCCTTCAAAACACTGGGCAGACTCCTTGCTTGTTTCCAAAGATGCAACGAGGGCTCCGGGGTGACTGGCAGACTGGGGTCCCAGGACACTGCTGCTGCCTCATGGGGTAAAAGTGGTGGTGTTTTGTGCGGGTGGGGGGAGGGAAGACTGGGCGGACCGAGCCAGTAACCTCCCAATCCTCAGCCAAGCAGAACCTGGAAGGGCAGCCCTAAGCCCTTAGAACATGCTGGAGCAGTGGCACTGCCTTCGGGTCAGGAAAACCTGAGAAACCCAAGCAGGGCATCTGGCCCACTTCCGGTGCCTCGTATGTAATAAATGCCGTTTTGTTTCATTACAAGTGTTTGTATATGTGTGTTTACATATCCAAAGCACTGAGATGAAAATACATTTTGTTCTGTGTTACAGGTTATTATTACTATTACTATTATTATTGAGAATGAGAGAAAGAGACAGGGGGAGGACTCCCACGGGCTGGCTCATTCTCCAAATGCCCACAACGGCCAGGGCTGGGCCAAGTCACAGGCCAGGAACTCAACCAGCTCTCCCACGTGGTAGGGATCCAGGTGCCCGAGTCTCCCTGCTGCCTCCCAGTCTGCATGGGGGGGGGGGAGCGGGGAGCTGCAGTCAGGCGCCAGAGCCGGGGACTGAACCTGGGCACTCAGCCACGGGTCGCAGGCGTCCTCACCGCCAGGCTAACTGTCCGCCCATGGTGCTCACTTAAAGGCGGAACGCTGTTGCTCTGGGACGGCTGGGTGGGCACGATGAAGGGTCATTCCAGCCAGAGGGCAGGAGGCTACCTCAGCCCGGGGGCTGCTGGAGGTAAGCAGACCCTCCTTGATTGTGGGGGGAAAACACTGGCTTTGGGGTCAGGCAGAGTCTGGTTGTGTGGCTCTAGGACAGACACCTGACACCTGGGCACTCTTGCTTTGTCACAGGAGGGTGCGGGGTGGCCGGAGCTGTGCGGGTGCTGAGGGTTGGGACCCTCCTTGGACTGCCAAGCTGACAGCTGGTCCCCCTTCAGCATCCTGGATGGTGTCAGCCTTACAGGTCTTTGGGGGAAAGCCACCCCCCCGCCCCGCCCCCAGCCCCTACAGCCCCAGGCCCCGCCCCCAGCACCGTCCAGGCGCTCCAGGGAGGAGAAGAGAAATAATGAGGAGGCACAGAAGGAAGGAGCTCCAGGAGAGGAAAAAGAAACAAGTTTTATTAAAGCCCCAAACACTCGGCTAGAAAAACCGAAAAGGAAGGAGAGCGGGGTGGGGGTGGGGGAGAAAGGACATTAGAAAAGAGAGACGGAGAAAACACAGCAACCCTTTGCATTTAGAAATTGTCAAGTCACACCGACAGAGGTCACAGAACGTCCACAGAAGCCATCACTGTTACACCAGCACGGGCCCTACGGGTGTGGAGCCGGGGCTCGCCTGGGGGCCCGCCTGGGACCCCTCGCAGAGCCTGAGGCCCCTGGGAAACAGCATATTGTGGAAGGGGTGGGAGAGGAACCCCCCATGCGAGTAACACAGCACAGTGGGTGGGGGCTGGGGGACCAAGTACAGGGGCCCCCCGGGGACGTCTCAGTTTTCTCTTGGTCAAGCACACACTGATGGACAGAGCAAGGCGCATGCAGCTAGGGGGGGACTCACGTGCTGCCGGGGGTGGGACTGGGGGAGGGAGCCGGAGCGAGTGGTGCGGGACGACGGATCACACGCACACACACACGCACGCACAGAGCCACTCACACACCTGGGTCTGCACTAGCACTCGTGCACCACCGCACCCGCAGACACGTTGCATGCACCTCCACGTCCACGCCGACAAATGTCTTGCAGTTAGGCAGGTGCACACACGCCTCCTCCCACACACGCGACAGGCCACGCCTGCGCACCTGCACACAGTCCACACAGGTGCCTCCCAGCCCAGCCCTGTGCAGGAAGCAAAGCGAAAGACACACGTACACCCCACACGCTCCACCTGGGCAGTGGTGCGGGGCACGTGGCTCCCTCCTTCTGCTCCTTCCAAGACGGACACTTCTCCCATCTGCCCCTCCCCTCGCAGAGACATTCAACTCGGGACGATGACAGCGGGGCACACATCCAGGTCACAGGGCGGGGCTGGGAGGTGAGGCAAGTGGAGAAGCAAGCAGAGGAATGGAGCGCAGGGAAGAGGGGGCACCACTCCCCTCCCCCACCAAGTCAGGGTCTCTGTACAGCCAAATCAAACCGGAACCACTTCACTGGACCACACGAGCCAGGCCGATGAGCCCAGCCCCAGCCCCTCCCCCGCCGAAACAGCGGCAGGGAGAGAGTGCTGCGGCTTTTTTTTTCTTTTTTAAATATTTATATATATTTATATTACGTATATTATATATATAATATGTAAATATATTTTTAAAACAATATAAAATGTTAAGACACTTCACTTAAATGTAAAGAGTTGCCTGCAATTAGAAGTAATTGCATCATTTATGAGGTCCTTTTTTTTTTCTATTTTCCGGGTTTTTTTTTTTCCAGGAGGGGATTTTTTTTCCTCTTGTTATTTTTCAAAAAGGTTTGCTTGCCTTGGTACAAAAATGATCCAAAGCTAGAAAATAAGGACGAACCAACAAAAGAGAGGAGAAAGAAAGAAATGAAGAAACACAACCCAGCTTCCCCTCCCCCTCCCTCAGCAGCGCCCCCTGGCGGCCCACCAGCCCCGGGGCCTCGGGGCGCCGCCCCGCCCCGCCGCCGGCTCCTGCTTTCTGTGCTTGCTGCGGGAGCACCCGCGCCCGCGCCCGCTGTGCTTTCTCCGCTTTGTGCTCCACGACAAAACCCTGCTCCCGGGGCCCCACTCCATCCTCGTCCTCCTCAACGCAAAGTCTTCCCGCTGGCCCCTGCTGTGCTCTCTGGGGGGCCGGGACTGGAAGCAAAATTAGCTCGCCCCTGGCTCCTTGCAATCCCGGGCCGGGCACCGCGATGCCAGGGTCGCCGGCTGGCTGGTCACCAGGATCACCAGGTCCCCGTTTGAAAGCCACATCTCACGGCTTCCCTGAAAACTCGGATGGCGACGAAGCCGGAGCAGCGCCGCCCACCCCTCGGCGGGGTCGAGCTGCCCTCACTGCCTCCCCCAGCCCCACCCCTCCCTCCCATTGCCCTCAACCCCCACCCCCCCGCGAGGCCCCTCACACTCCCCCCCCCCACCCCGCGCCCTCAGTAAATAAGTTAATGGCATTGAAAGTGCTAAATTAGGAACTGAAAGTACCAAAGCCCCCTGCCCAGGGCTGCCCTCTCCCAGGGCGGTGCCGCAGCTGGCTAGCCCACACGCCCCAGGGCCGCCCCCAGCCCCTCTGTCCCGCCCCAGGCCCAGCGCGCGGCAGCAGCGGCCACAGTCTTGTCCCAGGGTGGCGGGGAGGGGTCTCCAGGCCCGAGTCTCCCCGTCTGCTGTCCAGCCTGCTGCCGGGGTTGGTCCACGTGGCGCGGTCCTCCAGGAAGGTGCGAGGGAGGGGAGAAGGCGCTGGCGCTTCCCCGTCGCCACGGCTCAGAGTGAGTGGGGAGGATTCGGCTCAGAGTGGGGATTCTTGGGGGGCTGAGGGAAAGCGGGAAGGGCGGTGGAGGCGGGAGCTGGAGCCTGGAAGGGGAGGGAGAGCCGTGAGAGAGAAGAGGGGGAACCCATGAAGGGGGCACCGGGAGCAGAGGGGGGGCAGTGTGTTTGGCCTTCACTTGTACTGCTTTGCTTTTTAAAAAGGAGAATTCAAAGTGAATCATTTAAAAAACCAAAACACCAAGAGGGGATGGGGTGCGGCGAGCTGAGGCCGCCCCCGGGGCAGAGCCTTCAGGGGGCACCTGGATCGGGGGTTGGCAATGTAGGGAAGACTAGGGGGAGATGTGGCAAGGAGAGAGGGCGGTGCCCGCAGGGCTTCTAGAAGGAGATGGAAGAATTCCTTGCCCCAAAGGAAGTCAATACAGGGATGGAGGTTCTGGAAGCCGATGGCTTTTCTGAGACTGGGCTGGAGGACTCATTCGACCCGCTCATCTCTTTGGGTGGTTTAGTGGCCTGGAACAGAAACAGGGGTCAGAGGTCAGAGCGAGGAAGGGAGCGCCTGCGTTCCGGCCCCCAGCTGAAGTTTCAAAAAATGGAAAACTCCACCAATGCGGGAGAGAAGTGGCTGCCAAGGCAAGAAATCAGAGGGCGGGGTGGGGGGTGGGCAGCAGCGGGCAGAAAGGAGGGGGAAGGGCAGGGGTCAGGGGCACAGCCAGGGCCCCTCCAGCAACCATGGAAGGCCGGCCCTAAGCAGGCCCGGAGCCTGGCTGTGGTCCCAGAAGCACTCCTGAGTCCCTCCCCGCCCCCTCCCTCCCCCCCAGCAAGTGCCCCACTGAGGACAAGGGCGACCCCCCCGGGAGTCTGGGCTGTGGGCGCACCCCCCATACACACACCTGCAGCAGCCGCCCTCCTCTGTACTGGCCCCAGAGGCTCAGCCTCTGGAGTTTTTGTCTCCATGGTGTGGTCTGGAAGGCGTGGGCCATAGGAGCTGGTAGTTCCAGGGGCCCCCTCCAGAACCCAGCTCCCAGGTGGCCTTGGGGATGTGTGCCTCAGCCAGGTGCTGGGGGCTGCCGCACACAGGCAGGCTCCAGCCCTGAAATCCAGGCACTGTCCCGCCCGGCCTCGCTCAGATCCCACCAGAGCCCTGCCTGAGGGGAGGTCTGGCCAGGCCCGCTCCACTCCCAGGGACCTGAGCTGTCCCCCAGCCGCCAGGCACTTTCCTGGATGCCTTGCCAGGGAGGTGTGTGGGGAGGCGAATGTCCAAAGCCAGCCCTGCCTCCAGCGGCCCGCCCTGCGCCGGCTCACAGGGACCCCTCCACGCTGAGTGGTCACCCTTCTCCCCGCAGGTGCACACAGGGCACAGTCAGCGGCTCGTCTGGCATGCGGCAGCCCACGTCCCCCTTTATGCAAACCAAGGCCAAAGCCCCCCACTTGGGTCTTCTAAGCCCTCTCCTCTTTCCTGGGAGCCTCCCACTCGTTACTCAGAGGTTCCCAGCCCCGGGCTCAGCATCACGCAGTCCACTGCCGCGTGCCACGTGTCGGGCATTGGCTGTGTTCTCACCAGGCTCTGCTCCCTGAGCTGGGAGACAGCCAAAGGCAACCACGCACTCTTGCCATTTTGTCACTCACCTGGGCCCAGTCCCGCCCTCCCTCGCTCTAGCCTTTTCCACTTGAAGTTCTTTTCTCCCAAAGCCCTGCGCCTTCTCCCCGCAGTCTCCTGGCAACTTGCCACGTCCCCGCACACGGTGTCCAGTCTCTCCAGGCTCGCGTTTGTTGTCCACCAACCTTTCAAGTTAAAAGCTCTCTCTGTTCCTTGCCTTTGGTGTTTCTCGAGAGCCTCTGTCTAGTCCAAGCTTTGGTCTCTGGAGCACCTGCCCCCTGCTCGCCTGCACTGCCACCTGAGTCCTGGATTCACCCGCGTGATGAGGCTTCTCTCCCTCCCCGAGCCACGCAGAGCCCTGAGAGCCGGGCGCCACCCCTTCTGCGCTGCTCTTCAGGCATCTGTTCAGCATGGTGCTCGTGGGTCCCCTTCCCCCCCAGGAGACCCCAGCCACAGCAGCACCCGAAACCCGCTCTCCTGAAGGACCCCGTCCTAGGCTGCTGCTCCGCGTTCTCAGTTGACATTGTCCTGTCTTTGACAGTATCTGTCACTTCCGTTTCACCTGTCGGTCCTCCCCTGCTGGTCCCAGTTTTCTCCAGAGAAGAACTTTGGCACCTTTGTGGCAAGGCAGACACCATATAGTTCAGCTGAAATCTGGGGGAGCCATGCAACACCTGGCCAGGCCCCCGAGGGCTACACCCCACACCTCCCTCTTGCTTGGGGCTCAGTCGCCACAGGCCCCAGGCCTGCAGCGAGCCACCATGTCCCAGCACACTCCCAGGTACATGGGTTAGGCAGGTGTAGGACATGTCTTCCCGGGGCTGCTGGCTGCCTCCTCCAGTGACTGCAGCCCTCGCCCTTCCCCCCGGGGAGGTTCCCAGGTGCCTCCAACATCCCTGATTTGTTCTCTCAACCCTCTGATACGGCAGGTGCTTCACAGATTTCCTGGCCCGGAACTGAAGGGGGCATCCTTGGCTTCACACGGACAGCAAGCCCTTGACCTTGTGCCCCTGGCCATCCGGCCCCCACCCCTGCCTTGGGTCTCGAGCACACATCCAGGGGCTTTTCCTCAGTCACTTCCTGCATCTCGCAGGGTCAGAGGCGGCTCTGAGTGCCAACGTGTCAGAATCACCCCTGCCCAGGCACAGCCTGAGCGCGGCGCTTCCTCCTTGGGGGGCTCCTCCTAGAACCCTGGTTCCTTCCCCATCGCTCACACGAGCTCAGAGACCGAGAAGACAGAGGGCTTCCACCAAGGCCACAGGCGCTGCTGCCGTGTGACGGTGTCCCAGGCCAGCGCTGAGCATGGACGCGGAGGGTCACGGGAGTACCGGCTCATGTGACTGAGTGACCGAGGAGGCTCACCAGGAAGAGCCCTGGCCCGGCCAAGAGGCATCAGGACTGTCACCCTAAAGGGACTGCACAGCACGGGCAGTGTGCGAGAGGGAAATGGGTCTGCGCGTCCCAGGGTCCCCGCCCCAGCCCGCAGCGCTTGGAAAATGGCTTAGAAGTGGGAGAGTCGGGGACACCTAGACGCACAGGGTCCGCCCCCCGGCTTGTGCAGCAGTGACGTGAAATACGGCCACCAGAAACAAGGCTTCCCGGGTCAGAAGGAAGGCAAGCAGTGGCAGCGACAGAGGTGTGGCCGGGCCAGAAAAGACACAGCAGTGAGGGGACGGGGACTCCACATCCAGACAGGCACACGCGTGGAGGCTGGAGCTTAGCCCAAAGAGAGTGTGCTGTGAGCCCTCCAGGCTGAGCGAGCCCGCGGGGAGCACTGGAGGCGCAGGTGGGGCGTCTGGCAGGGGAAGGGGCAGTGGGGGAGGGGGCGGGGAGGCTGCCAGGAGGAGAAGGACTGTCCACGCGGCTTGCGTGCCGCAGTGAGCGACGGGAGGGGACCACCGGCCACCTCACCAGGCTCAAGGTGGGTGGCCCAGGGCAGGGGCTGAGGGGTAAATGGAGGGTAGGGCGTGGGGCTGCGGGGGGAGGGGGGAGCATCAGGACTGGGATGGGGGGAACCCACAACAGCCGAGCTGTGTGGCCCTGGGTAAACCTCAGTATCCCCAGATATCAAATGCAGACACTGAGGATCCACTGCAGGGTGGGAAGTGGGAAATGTGGGGTGCCTGCCCCTCATACATGCACAAAAGAGGGCCCCATGGAGCTGGGCGAGGAGCTGGGCTGGGCCTCCCGGGGAGTGGCTGGGGACCACAGGGAAGGGGGAGTGGTGACAAGCGGCTGGGGGCGGGCCTGCAGGCAGCCAGGGCCCAGTGTGCGCAGGCTGCCAGGTGGTAGGGGGGACTTTGGGACAGGGGGGTCCCAGGCCTGGCTCCCTGGCTCGGATGCCACACTTCTGTGAGCCTCTGGGAAGACCTTGCCCTGCTGTGTGCTGCTTCCTCGTGGGAAACAGAGCTGGCTGGACACACCCACCTCTGACCTCTGACCTCCGGCCTCCCAGCCCAGACCCTCGTTCCAGTCACTGCGTCCGGGCGTCTCTCAGCCCCACGAGCACGCAGAATGGGCTTGGTGTGCAGAAGCTGCTGAGAAAGTTCCTGAACCGAGGGAGCGTGCCGGCGGGGACAGGGACTGTCGACACCCACGGGTGAGGCCTGTGCACTCCACACACTGCCCCCAAGCCGACCAGAGAGGCTGGGGCTACACCCCTACCCCACCTGGGGGGCCAAAGGACCCTTCCCTCGTCTCATCCCCCAACAACGGTCAGCAATGGACCCACTGACCCCAGACCCAGGGCCCAAGGCAGATGGGAAGCTGGCTTCTCCCTCAGCTGGAGACGGCCCTGGAGCTGAGAGGAGAGCTGGGGAGCCAGAGAATGGGGGGGCTCAGTCCCTGCTCCCGCACCCCAGGGTAGGCAGGGCCACGGAAGGCGCCCACGCCGGCAATCCGCTGCCTCTCCCCTCCTCTGAGCACTCCTGGGGGGGAGCGCTGGCCGGGAACTCAGGTTCCCAAGCAGATCCAAAGTGTGGGACTGGAGGAAAGGGAGGGAGGGGGCGGTCCGGGGGTCCGCAGGGCAGTCCTGGCAGGGAGGGTCCCTCCAGGCAGCGGGCCGCAGGGTCGCGGCAGGGGAAGCCCAGCCCTCCAGCCCCGCCCTCACCTGTTGCGGGGCCTGGGTCCTCAGGTACTCCGCCCTCTGCCTGCCGTGCTTGCTCTTGTCCGGGCTGCCCGCCTGGGCCTGGGCCGCCTTCAGCCGAGAGGCCCCTGGAGTCACCACCTTCATGGGCGGCACGCCGCCACCGCCACTCTGAGGACAGACAGACAGCGTGAGGTTAGAGTCCCTGCAGAGCCCGAAGCACCTGGAGGCAGGCCAGTCTCTGGGGTGGGCCCTCTAAGACCTGGAGACCCCTCCCTCGCCCAAGAACCCCAGCCCAGCTTTCTGGGGCTCCTTGCCGTGGAGGGGCACAGCCCCAGCTCCTGAGTGAGCCTCTGATGGCTTCCTGGAGCAGCCTGGGGGCAGCTGGTGCCCCCTCCCAGGGAGGCCCTCTGAAGTGAGGTCCCCAGCACCAGGCCCTCTTCCAGCAGGGGGCGCCATCCTGGGCCCGAGGCAGCCAGGACATGACTGGCAGCCCCCCACCCACCCCATCATCCTCTGATCAGGAGGTGGGGGTGACATCCTCCCAGAGGGGCTCAGGGGACCCAGAGGCGCGAGCAGAGAAATGACAGAGACAGAGAGAGTCAGAGACGGGGAGGGGTCACGGGCTGGGGGCAGGGAGAGAACTTTATTTCCTGGTTCACAGAAACAGAGCAGAGGGGAGAGGCTCGGGTCTTGCCAAGGCTGGGAGGGCCACGCCCTGGGTAGGCTGGCTTCCCAGCCTCCCTGGGGTTCTGGCCGCACCCCCTGGCCAGGCACCCGGCTCCCAGGAGGGCGGCAGGAGCTGAGAGAAGGCCAGTGGGAGGAGGGGGCTGGCATGGGGCTCCTGCCATCCCCCACTCCCTCCAGCTCTGCAGACAGACAGCCTGGAGTGTGAAGGCAGCAGGGGGGACAGGGGTGGAGGCAGCCACCTGGGGGCGGGGGGGCAGGGGTGGGGAACTGCCAGGGGGCCCCGCTGCTGGGGCTCCACGCATCTCGCTCAGGGTGGCCTCCAGCTCCCGCAGCGTCTCCTCCAGGCTGTCCACGCGCTGCAGGGCGATGCCCCGCGCTGTGTGCCCCCGGCCAGCCGCCGCATCATGTCCACAGTCCTTGGGGTTTTCCTCTGGGAGAGCCCCAGCGGAGGAAGGCTCCTGAGCCCCCTCGGGGGCGGGTCCCTGGTGACACAGGACCCCGGCTCCTGCACCTGCTGGGCTGCAGCCCCCTCCTGCTGCCCCTTCCTTCTTGGGCATGGAGGTGCTCTCAGGCCGGGAAGCCCCTGCCACTAGCCCTGGCCAGGCCTGTGGGCCAATCCAGCCCTGCCCCCTGCCAGCCAGGGTCCGAGGTCGCGGGGTCGGGGCTGTCCTGGGGTCCAGCTCCTCAGGCCTGGCTTCTGGCGGGGAGGGAGTGCTGGGGGCACACTCCGTCAAGGTGATCCGAGGGACACGGAGGGCCCTGGGTCCTGTGGCAGCCTGGGAGGAGAAGGAAGACGAGGAAGCGTGGGGTCTCCACCCACCACACCCGCGCTGGAGGGGGGTTGGAGACAAGTGAGCCCAGCCCCTTCCTCCCACGGATGGGGACACTGAGGCAGCCCAGGAAGTCCCGGGCAAAGAATCTGGATCTAGAACTGCAGACCTCAGGGTGCCGGGCGTCATGGCGCAGCCGGTTAAGCCACAGCTTGGGACTTGGGACACGGCACCAACATGTCCTACTGGAGCACTGCTTCTAATCCTGGCTATGCTGTTTCTGAGCCAGTTTCCTGCTAATGCACCTGGGAAGGCAGTGAGTGATGGCCCAGGTGCCTGGATCCCTGCCCCCCACGTGGCAGCTTCTGGCTTCAGCCTGGCCCAGCCCCGGCTGTTGCAGGCATCTGGGGAGCGAATCAGTGGATGGAAACATGCTCTCT